TGTGGTGATAAAATGATTTAGCAAAGCGACCTGACTGGAGACTTTTTGTATGTTTACCTTCGTTTTGCATTAGGCGTATTGTCTATCGGTCTAGATGAGGATACATAGGCCATTCTTTTAAGATACGGAAAGAAGTAATCTTTTGTTTCTTCCTTATGAAATTTTTCTGTAGTTATTTTGTTTCACATAATTTATTGTTTCTCCTATCAGGCAATTGGTGATTCAATATGTTAGACGTCGTGCAACTCTTGGGTCAAAAGTTCACCGTGTGGATTGGGCTTCTCTTCCTAATCTTCCAGCGTCTCCTGGTGCCTGTGAGAAACGAATGTCTTCTCTAAGAAGAAATGGAAAATTTAGAAAAGCTATCATGAAGCTCTGTAATTTGCTTAGTGAACGATATGTGAAGCACCTGGAGAAAACTCAAAATATGAAACTAAACATTAATGATAGCAGAGTGCCTGTGCAGGTTTTGTCCAGGAAAGGTCATAAACTGAATGTCTCTGATGGTGTTGAAGACACTGAAGATACTATTTTGGAGGAAAAACAGTGGGATGATTTTAATGACAAGAATATTCAGGCAGCTCTTGGTGATGTCCTTCGATTGAAACGGATAGCGAAGTTGGAGACATCTAAAAGAATTGGGTCAGCTTCTGAGGAATATCTAAATGTAAGATTAATCACATTTTGGTATTGTATCATTGATGCATCTGGAGTTCAATGGTCAAAATTTTGACCAAGGGATTGATCTAGAGGAGCTCTCATCTTTATGTTGGAAAAGTCACACACTCTCTCCCTTTTGCCCATGTTCTTTTCTACTTCTTTGTTAAATATGGTTTACAAGAAATGGTTTTTGACATGCTTGTATATTATTACTGTATCTGCAAAAGAAAAGTTTCCTATTCTTGCAGTTACCTTCCTTGTAGAAGCTGATAGTAAATATTTAACTTGCAGAATCTTGAGGAATCTGGATTGGTTTCTTCAGCCACTTATAGTGATCAGAACCTTGGTATGGGACCACATAAGGATGCTGCTCGAAGAACCAAATGTCATCTCCTTCATCAAAAGTTTCTCAAGCTTTTGACCGAAGGGATAAGTATCAGTAGAGAAGTTGAATCTTTGGCTGTTTCTAATGCCATAGAATTGTTTAAGCTCGTCTTCTTGAGCACCTCAGCAGCACCAGAACTGCCAAATTTGCTGGCAGAAACTCTACGGCGTTATTCAGAACATGATCTTTTTGCAGCCTTTAGCTACCTCAAGGAGAAGAAATTTATGGTAAATGAGTTTTTATTGATGGATTATGTAGTATACTCAGTTTCAGATATGATAATTTATGTCAGTCTTGTGGCTTTTGCGAAAATATGAGGAAGCAATAATAATCTGTAAATTTCACACTTAAGCAATAATACTTATTGTGTGACTCTTATTTCTCACTTAAGCAATAATACTTATTGTTTGACTCTTATTTCTCACTTCCTGTATGTTCATTTGACCAATTATTAAACTGCCTTTCTGTCCCCTATTTTCTATTTTATTGATATGAAAGTAATTTCTAACACAGAGCTTTCTTCACTTTATGATAGATTGGGGGTAATGGCAGTCCTTTTGTACTTTCTCAGCTGTTCTTGCAAAATCTTTCTAAATCACCCTTCCCAATTAATACTGGAAAGAGAGCTACAGAATTTTCTAGTTGGCTTTATGAAAGAGGAAAGGATCTTATGGAAGGGGGGATTAATCTTAATGCAGACTTACAGTGTGGGGATATTTTTCATTTGCTTTCTTTAGTTTCTTCTGGCGAACTGTCAATTTCTCCTTTGTTGCCAGATGAAGGCATTGGAGAGGGAGAAGACTTGAGATGTTTGAAACGTAAGAATGAGGAAAATGAATTTTGTGATGGTGATAAGGCTAAGAAATTAAAATTTGTCGCAGAAAGTGAACTTGTTTCTCGCCGAGAAAAGGGTTTTCCTGGTATCATGGTATCCGTGCATCGTACAAGAATATTAATGGCCGATGCTGTAGAGTTGTCTGAAGGTGTGGAAACTTGCAGCAGTGAACTTCATGATAATGCTGAATTTAACAATCTTTTGGATCAAAAAAATATTGGTAGTCCTTGTCAGTCTGACCATGTGAAGCAGATGCTCAACTTTGGCAGTGCTGTTACCATAGCAGGAGGTTCTAGTGAGTCACCTTGGGACTCTATGGCAACCTATGCTGAGTATTTATCGAGAACTGACCAAACACTGGTTAGTTTCTTCAGTCCTAAGGTCTTTAAGACTGTTTATGCTGCTATTCAAAAGGCTGGTGACCAAGGGTTGAGCATCAAGGAAGTTTCCCACGTTATAGATATGCCAGGTACATGCACCATAATTTTCTTTTATGGGGATGTTCATAAATGTGCCATTTGCTTTAAGATTTCAGGAAGGATGATATTTATGCACAAGTTCGACTGTATTAATTTTGTCTCTTTATTGTCCTTCCCAGGAGAAAAAATCCCTGAATGTATCATCAATGTGCTTCAAGCATTTGGACGAGCATATAAGGTAGGTTCACTAAGGATCAGCAATTTTAGACTATAAGTGCAATTTGTCATTTCTTGAGCAGTGTACTGGCAGGCTGACACAGATGCTTAGGGAAAGATTGGGGTTGGGGCTGTTTGTACAGTTTCTTCTAATGTACTAATGATTTTTCTACAGGTCAATGGCTATGACACTGTTCGTGTTGTTGATGCATTATATCGTTCCAAGTATTTCTTGATCTCTATGGCTGGTTTCCATCAAGATCTCAACACACCATCATTGACAAAGTTCTCAAGTAGGACCAATAATAGCCAATTAGTCCAGCCAGAAAACCATGATAGTGATGGTGCTAATTCACAGCGGAAAATGGAGATGAATGTTGGTGATATGCACAAAGTCACCATTCTTAATCTTCCTGAAGATTTTGCTGAACACGTAAATGAAACTCAAACTAACAATGTGCATGAAGTCTGTATTCAAGTTGATGGTTTGTCTAGGGAGTATATTCAGAGTGAAAGCTACAAATACACTTCTGCTGAATTTTGTATGCCGATATTGCCCTGGGTAAATGGAGATGGAACTGTCAACAGTATTGTTTACAATGGACTTCTACATCGTGTTCTGGGCATGGTTATGCAAAATCCTGGGATATTAGAGGTACCAGCATTTCTGTGTCTTTTCATTTACTTCCCCATTCTAGGTTTTTTAAACTTATCCTCTGAAACTCTTTATCACCGTTTGGTTTTCCGTTTATGAATATCTGTTTAGGCCTTTTTTCCTTTTTTATTGAGGAATTGGCATCATCCGTGTTGCTGCATTGTTTCTTAAAAAGAATATAATCTGGTGATGAGCGTCATATGCAGGCATCCAAGTTTTTTGTGAGCCAGAAGCTTTGTGGACGTCTATTTTGTCTGTTCATTGGGAGTTACGAAATATATCTTACATTTTTGTTTTCTCATTCTTTTTACAGGATGAAATTATCCGCGGGATGGATGTATTAAACCCCCAGGTACATATTGTGTAATCTTAATTATAGAATTGAATATCGAAATATGCATTTATCCTGAAATCATGTTAGGCCGGAGTTTTTCACATCAGCAGCCCTGTTGCTTATACAAATGTTAATACTTACTATCCGATAAAAACATTTTGGCGCACAGCTGGGTCTGAGGAAACCATTTTCCTCACTGAACAGGAGTTACCAATTAACTTATTATATAAACCCTTCTATTCCTGTAGATTGTAGTATTTCTCTGCAATACATGCGATCTGGTAGATATGGTGGAACAAGCAATTTGGTTAAAGAACGAAAACAGAAAAAATAGAACTAGAACAAGTCAAGAAATTTGGGGTTTTGTTGATTTAATCACTTCCCACCTGCAATTTTGAACAAAGTGTTGATTTATAGATCTCCATTTTTATGCAGAGCTGTAAAAAATTGCTGGAGCTGATGGTTTTGGATAAACACCTCGTCGTGAGGAAGATGCATCAAACTACACACACCGGCCCCCCTCCTCTTCTGGGGACCCTCCTCGGACGCAGTTTCAGAAGTTCGACAATGTTATACCGTGAGCATTTCTTTGCCAATCCCATGAGCACATCTTTACTGTAAACTCGTGTTATTCTCGAGACCCTCCTCGGATGCTGCTTCAGAAACTCAAAGATGGCACCAAATCCCATGAGCACATCCTTACTGTAAATAAGTTTCATAGTTTCGGTGTCTCCTATGAGCAGCAAAATACCATTCCCAGTCGGTAAGTCGCATAGCAGTCCAGCAGATCATATAGAATGTACATTTTAATGATCAAATTTTGCAATGTTGAAGATGTATCATGTATCATACTCTTTTGATTGTTGGTGTAAACTTTTTATTGTAAGTTATAATTATCTATTTATTATTTAATTAAGTGTACTTTTAAGGTACAAAATAATATTATTTGGATGAGCGTTAAGATGTATGATTAAAGTGTACGATGTATGATTAAGGTGTACGGTCTTATGTCCGTATTCTCTACTCTTAAGATTTAAGTAAGAGATTGTAATGGTAGGTTGTCTCGGTAGTCTTTATCAAGGATTAGTTCTAACTGGGACAACTTGGTTAAAACAAATAAAACAATATTACTTATCTATATAAGATAAATTTATAGATTTATAGTAATATCTTAAATATTATTGAGTATTTATTAACAAAATAGAAGTGTTTTCCAAAAACACTTCCGAAAACAAATAAGAACTCTAAAAATAAAGAAAAGTATAATAAGAGCCATAGTATGACTGACTTCTCAGCTATAGTCTTAGATTACACGTGTACGCGCCAGATCTTCTCTTGTCAGTCTTCTCCCTTCTCTCTTCAACCTTCTTCAAAACTCCCTCATCCTCTGCAAACAAACCCAATAACTTTCACCATGAAGTCATGAACTAACCCCCATCACCACCGCCACCGTTACCGCCACCGTCACTGCCACCGCAACCGTCTCCACGGTCTCCATGGCAGACAATTTACCGTCACAAGCACCAACACCAGCAACCCCGTCAATGCAAACTTCTCCCCCCAAACCCCTCCAATCCCCGCCAAACCCTATGCTGGACCCCACTCCCTCCTCCTTAACCCCCTCCACCCCCGCCACGTCAGCGCCCTTGCTCCACCGCCCTCCTTCTCAGCCCGTCGCCACCCCGTCGACACCTCAACAACAACAGAACCAATCTTCCTCTCCTTCTCTTGACCCGCAAATTCTCCAACAACAACAACAAATGGTTCAGAACGTTAACGTTGCAGCCATGTCGAATTACCAAATCCCACAAACCTTGAATCGATCCTCCTCAATCTCACGGCTGAATCAAATTCAACAGCAGCAGCAGCAACAACAACATTCTGCATACACCGTCTTGAGGCAACAAGCTTTGTACGGTCAAGTGAATTTCAATCAACAGAATCAGCAGCAAACCCAGCAAAACNAACTTGGTTAAAACAAATAAAACAATATTACTTATCTATATAAGATAAATTTATAGATTTATAGTAATATCTTAAATATTATTGAGTATTTATGAACAAAATAGAAGTGTTTTCCAAAAACACTTCCGAAAACAAATAAGAATTCTAAAAGAAAAGGAAAGTATAATAAGAGCCGTAGTATGACTTGACTTTCTCAGCTATAGTCTTAGATTACACGTGTACGCGCCAGATCTTCTCTTGTCAGTCTTCTCCCTTCTCTCTTCAACCTTCTTCAAAACTCCCTCATCCTCTGCAAACAAACCCAATAACTTTCACCATGAAGTCATGAACTAACCCCCATCACCACCGCCACCGTTACCGCCACCGTCACTGCCACCGCAACCGTCTCCACGGTCTCCATGGCAGACAATTTACCGTCACAAGCACCAACACCAGCAACCCCGTCAATGCAAACTTCTCCCCCCAAACCCCTCCAATCCCCGCCAAACCCTATGCTGGACCCCACTCCCTCCTCCTTAACCCCCTCCACCCCCGCCACGTCAGCGCCCTTTCTCCACCGCCCTCCTTCTCAGCCCGTCGCCACCCCGTCGACACCTCAACAACAACAGAACCAATCTTCCTCTCCTTCTCTTGACCCACAAATTCTCCAACAACAACAACAAATGGTTCAGAACGTTAACGTTGCAGCCATGTCGAATTACCAAATCCCACAAACCTTGAATCGATCCTCCTCAATCTCACGGCTGAATCAAATTCAACAGCAGCAGCAGCAACAACAACATTCTGCATACACCGTCTTGAGGCAACAAGCTTTGTACGGTCAAGTGAATTTCAATCAACAGAATCAGCAGCAAACCCAGCAAAACCCTCAACTAGGTTCTTCTAATTTGTCACGCTCAGGCCTTATTGGGCAGACGGGGCACCTGCCCATGCTGACTGGGGCATCCGCTGCCCAGTTCAATTTACAGTCTCAATTGCTCGCTTCGGTATTGATTTTATGAAATTTTGTATTTTATTTTAACTTGAATTTGGTGTGCTATACTTACAAATTATGGAATTTTGTGTTTTATTTTAACTTGAATTTGGGATGCTATATTTGCAAAGTAGGAACTTTCTGTAAAACTGGTACGCGTTGTATGTTATTAGAATGATGTTATGGATTATCCCTTTTTTGGTGGGTTCCGGTCGCAATTCAAATGGTATATACTTATTAAGCAAATTAGAACATGCGATGTCACTGTAATACAGTAGTGTCAGATAAGTTTGTATGAAGAGATATGTCTAGGTAGTTCTGAGTGTAGTTGTACTATGTGGCTAATGTTAGATTGTATGTTTGAAACCTGGTTTATGTTGTGGTTATGATCATATATGATTGGATATGTGAGGGTTATTTGCTTTATCTTTGATATCAGTGATTGTTGCATTGGTTTCAATGAAGTAGTTTTGTTGCTTTTGGAAATGATATTTGCATTAGTTTGGTGTTTTGTGAGTGATAGGGAGACTGTAGTTTTAGTTAAATGGGCTATTTGGGTCACCTTTTATGTAGTGCTTGATTTGTTATTGCTCTGCACTCTAATGACCATAATATCAATGTTTTTTAGAAGAATTAGTTTGCTTTTGCAAGTGAGATTAGGTTTTTCTTAGAAGCTGTGAAGAAGTGGTGTAGAGAACATATTATTTTTTTCAATGCTGCACTTTATGAACTTTTTTTTTTCAGTGGTCCCAGTTGGTTTAGAAGTTAAGATCTTTCTTGGGTGAGATGGAACCATATATTGTAACATTATTTCGTGAAGTATAATTTGAACATGCTGAAAAGGGGTTGAAATATTGAAGCTTTGTTTGTGGTGTTTATCATCATGAAGTTTACGCTTTCGTATGAAAGTTGAATTTACTTAAAAGTTACAGGAGCATTTAAAGTTATTTTATGTGGTGGTTAATATGTGCACCCTTTTGCTTAATTATGGACTATCTGCAGCCATATCTTCTGTAACAATTAGAATATTGTAATGAACTGCCTTGTTCAGAACGATAAGATAACTATCATATACCTGATTGCGTTAGCAATTAAATTTTAGGGAATCTAAGACTTTTTCTACGTTAGTAATTTCCATAATGGTAGTAACCTTTTTGTTGATAACTTCATAATTTGCATGATTGATTTTGCATAGGAGAGTGAGAAATTTTCATTGGTAGATATTATGCTGGACCAATATCTATAAATTCTGGCTTCCTTGTCCTTTCCTGAAAAAATTGAGGTTTTGGATGTAGCCGAGGCAGAAAACTGGATTAGTGCAAGGATCCCAATTCCATCCTGGTAATTCGCCTGGGCAGCCTTTGCAAGGAATGCAAGCAATGGGGATGATGGGGCCACTTAATTTGGGCTCACAATTGAGGGCTGGTGGGGCCCTTGCTTATGCACAACAGCGAATGAATCAGGGGCAGATGCGGCAGCAACTGTCACAACAGAATGCTCTTAACTCCCCTCAGGTATAATTTCCTTCTAATGCTTCTGTGCTCTGTTTTCCTTCTGTTATTTTGGTAAACGATTACGTTTTCTGTTTCCTTTTTCTGTTTAATTATTGTCTTATCACTATCACTCAATTCCTTCCCTTGTGGTCTTTTTCTAGTTTTCTGGAAGGATGCAAATTAATAAGTATATTTCCTAATTGGTAAATGTATTGGTTCCATGTTGATAGATGGTGTTGTGCACCATAGTAGCTTATTGATATTGTGTTACGCTTATATAACATTTCTCCTTCAAGTGGACGGATAACTATTGAAAGATTAGTAATTATTCATGGCCTATGTGAGAGATTGAGAAATAAAATAACCATTGACTTTGCTATGTTTTTTCCTTTTAGTTGGTTTGGAAACAAGTGTATTTATCCACCTGATACAAAACTTACCCAGGGACATGAGCATTTTGTTCCTCCTTTTTTATAGATAAAATAAGCTATATGACAGTATTTTGCCTCTGAGATTTTCACATTGGGTGTTCCTTAATAGTAGTGGCACATTTCGTGAAGATTTTTCCTGGAGTGAAATCTTATGCAATGTTTTTATGTGGGTTTTTAATTCATTTTCCCTTTGTAATTTGTGTGCATGAATTTGACGTCCAATTTATTTTCAAAATCTTCAGGTCCAAAACTTACCCAGGACTTCATCTCTGGCATTTATGAACCCTCAGTTATCTGGCCTGGCTCAGAATGGACAGCCGGGTATGATGCAGAGCTCTTTGTCGCCGCAACAGTGGTTGAAGCAAATGCCGACAATGTCTAACCCTGCCTCACCTTCATTCCGTCTCCAACTACATCAGAGGCAGCCACAAGTCCTCTTACAGCAGCAACTGGCTTCGTCTTCGCAGTTACACCAGAATTCTTTGGCCTTGAACCCACAGCAATTATCCCAGCTGGTTCAGCAGCAGCAGCCACAAATGGGGCATCCACAGATGCATCAAGCTCAACAGCAGACACATACACAGCCGCAGTCACAGTTGCAGCAGCAGCAGCAACAACTACAACAAACACACCAACAACTACAACAGCAGCCAACCTTGCATCAACAGCAACACCAACAGCAGCAGCATTCTCCAAGGCTTCCAGGTCATGCAGTCCAGAAATCTCTTAGCTTGACAGGATCACAACCAGATGCAACTGCCTCTGGTACAACTACACCTGGGGGGAGTTCAAGCCATGGAACAGAAGCAACTAATCAGCTCCTTGGAAAGAGAAAGATACAGGATCTTGTTTCGCAGGTTTTTTCCGTTTTCACTTAGTGTTCTGTTTATATAAGTGTTTTATTTTGAAATTTTGTTTAATTTTTTTGTAAAATATATTAAATCTTTTCAAATTTTGGCTGCTCAGGTTGATTCACGGGGAAAACTGGATCCAGATGTCGAAGATCTTCTTTTGGAGATTGCAGATGACTTTATTGACTCTGTGAGCCTGCTAAGCTAGCTAACTCTTTTATTATGTTTATTTGCTCCTCTTTCTGTGCGTGTGGCGTGCTATCTTCCCAACCAACACACCCCACCCCCCCACAAAAAAAAAACACTTTGTTTTTCATTGGTCAGAAAATTTGCTTTGTACTTTGATCCCCTGTCAGCAAAATTAGTGATGCCATAATGCAGCCTACATGTATAATTTTTAGTCCCACATCTCATTATTTTCCAAAAACCACCGTTTTGGTAGCTATGATTATCTGAGCTGCCCTAAAAGGTCCTTTAAAGTTTCGGCTGAAATTCCCTTCTTCTGCTTCAAGAATAACATATCTAAATGGCACTTACAGTGTTAGAAGATTGCATGGTGTGGTTGGATTTCCTCAATGGAACCTGCTGACATTGGTTTATTAGATCTTGAAATTTCTGCTAGTAACTGTTATGAAGTTACCATGTTGCCATAATAGTCTACACTGTGTACCATATTACGTCATGATAATCTTCACTGGCTATCAACTTCTTTCTAAAAATTAATTAATTATAAAAAATAAAAAAATAAAAAGACCACTAAAGCAGAATTGTTGTATTGTCTTCAGGAAAGAAACTTATTTTCATGTACTTTTTGCAGGTTACTTCATTTGCTTGTAGTCTGGCAAAGCACCGGAAATCATCAACTTTGGAGTCCAAAGATGTATTACTACATTTAGGTTTGTGCTTTCTCTATTATTTGTTCCCCCAGAAGATTTCTGATGTTTGATTATGCATATTGCTATTTGTTTCTTATGTTTGATCACTGGTTTACTGGTTAGCAGTTTGGTTGATATCTAGGATAGATTATATTGTTTATGATATGATAAAGCAGTGAAACAAAGATGTTTCAATGAAGATTGTTTTGGTGAAATCTAAATTCAGCCAGCAAGTGTAATGTTTTACTCATTTCTCAATGAATCTGTTACGCTGAATGTATGTGCAGAGAAGAATTGGGATTTGACAGTTCCTGGATTCTCAAGTGAAGGGCAGAAACACCAGAGGAAACCGGTAAGCATTTTATTTCTTTATTGAAGACCTTGATAT